TTCCCTCGTTCTCACAAGAAACTGAATTGAATAATTGTAAAAGACATCGCAGTGTTCCAGATGCTGGTACGTGCTGCTCTTCCGGCTTTGTTGTACCTTTCCACAGTTTACTCCAAAGACGATGATTTGGTTGTGCCAGCTGTCCGAGTAGTGCGACTGCAGATTGAGTACCCGAATGCTGCTGTCAAAGATATTCAGAAAATCCATAAGTACAAGAATAGTCTATCCTTTTTTTATTTGCAAATAACTGATTTCAGCCATTTAGGTGGAATCCTATTTTGCGAAATAGTGTTATTGCTTCTCTTCGTTTTATCAATAAGCACTGGTTAATTTGTGGAAGTGGACCGAATGGAGAAAGGTAGAAATGTAGAAGGTCATTTCATCCTTAATAGGAATAAAAATTACCTGTACAGACCTGCAAATGACTGCGGCAAAGCGCAAGTGACTGGCGAGGTGGTAGGGGATGATCATTACAGGATCAACGCAACGTTTATTTCAGAGAGGTGATTTGAGTTCTTTTTTTTCTAAGATTTTGTTTATGATGTGTGCAAAATTCTAGAGATCCTATAAAAAATGTGAAAGTGGAAGCCACATCAACCGTAATGGCTGTCTCACAGATTGGCCTTAAAGGTGGAATTTTCCAATATACGAATGCATTGAAGGTAGGCTTATATTTCAATTAATTTTTTTGTATGTTCAAAATGGTTGACCATCACCTAAACTTATAGGTGCTCTTGCAGAGCAAACAAAACCTAAGCTTCGCGTTCCAATCTCTACAAGCATAATCACTAAAGAACCTTTCAGATAATACTTGAAATTGATTTATCTAGCTTATGCTGCATAATAGCGCTGTTTACAAGCGCAAACTAGAATGCACTGTAAGAAGGGGCGTCAACCCTGTTTTTTTAAAGGAATTGTCAATTTCTCTCAATTTTGTACACGAGGTAATAACTCGCCGAATGAGTGTATACTCCCTGTCAACTACGCTGCCCCCTCCTACCCCTCATTAGTAACTTTCTTAATGCATACACTAAGTAAGTCTTCGGTCATTTCCGTTACATGTTTTATATGTGAACTTCCTTAATATTCCACTCTTGTTTGGTGTAATTCGGAAACAACAACTGATTTTCCAACTTATTTTCCTTGCATCAAGAAATAGCAAGCACTTGTTTGTAATTGCAATGAGTACAGTGGGCTTGATTTTTATGGGAAGCTCATTGGCGTTTTCAGTACTGTTATGACGCACTGGCTACACGTTTATTTCACAACCAATAATGGCTTCATTTTTTATACCGTAGGTTAATACAGATAAGATAGTATTGAGTTATAATATACTTTTTACGATACAAATAGTAGTTCATACTGCGCCATTGTCGAGCGCTTGTGACGAAGGCAGATACTGAAGGGGGAGCAACTCTATACAGGTGGTCAATTTGAGCGCTTGGGAATAGGGAGCTTCTAACCTGAAGGAAAGGTGAAAGGCGAAAAGGGGGATCAGAGATTCCACGACATGTCCTTTACACTGTAGAACAGGCCATCTATGCCTGCTGCAACACAAAAGATTAAGTGGATCAAAGTAAATGCAAATCAGCTTTTCTGCTTTTAACGAGTACTGGCGTAATTTAGCTATTAAACTCTCCAGAAAGTAAAGACTCCAGTATATCGTTGGTAAGTTAAGATCAAGCTCTTACACATGTACAATAC